ACATTTACACACACAAACACACACAGACATTTACAGATTTATACACATAGACAGACAGAAACAAACACACACACACATACTTACAAACACACACTGACACACAGACACACATTTACACACACACAAACACTCACTCACAGATACCCTCACATTTAGACACACAAACACACACAGACACCTACAGATTTACACACACAAACACACACACCCTCACATTTAGGCACACAAACACACACAGACACCTACAGATTTACACACACAAACACACACACCCTCACATTTAGACACACAAACACACACAAACACCTACAGATTTACACACACAAACACACACACCCTCACATTTAGACACACAAACACAATCACATATATTTACACACACACACACACACTAACACAGACAGGCACACAAACAGACAAACATTTACACACACACAGAAACAGACAGACAAACACAACCACAACAAACTTTCCCTTATTTTCCAATTGCAAACAATTCAAAAATACATCATCACAACCAAGAATCATTGTGTAAACAATCATTACAATCAAATAAAAAAATTTTGGGTTTTTTCATTTCATTACATTCAACATAAAATTTTTTCCTCCATTTTGAAAATAAAAATATATATCATTAATAATAATTAAAACAAAAAAAAAAACAAAAAAAAAAAAAAAATTTTTTTTTAAAAGGTTCCTTTTTATAATAATTATTTTTCAAAAAAATTTTTTTTTTTTTTTATTCAAAAGAAAACCTTTTTTTTATTATTATTTGGTTTAAATTCTATAGTAATAAATGATGATGATGATGATGCTAAAATGATATTTATGAATGAAAAGATTTTTGCAATTAATTTTTTTCTCTCTTTTTTAAAGCTGTGGTAATTTTAAACTGACTGACCTCAATAACCTCACTTGAAACAAATTAATTTTATATAGAAAACAAACGAAATTTTTTTTTGAATTTTAACCGTCGAAAGTTTAGAATTTCGGTTTCTCTCTCTCTCTAAAACTTTTCTCATTTAAAAAAAAAAGAAAAAAAAAATTTATATATACACACATATAACATTATAATTATTTTAATTATTATTATTATTTTAATAAAATATTAATATTAACGATTATTTTAGAGAGAGAGAGAGAGAGAGATTTAATTAATGAAACGAATAAACCAATTTTCTAGAAAGATTTTAAAAGATATATATAAAATGTATTTACCTTTCTTTAATTTTAACAAACGAATTTTTTTGGAAAGCGTTCGCCATTATTCCAATTTTTAACCGTTTTTTGATATTCATCAATTTTTTTAAAAAAAAATTCCATTCTACCAATTTTATACACTCCGTAATGTACATTTGACGAAAATTAACATTTAGATAATTACTCGCATAATTAAAAAGTAAAATTCCGTTAAAATACAAACATTTTAATTTACTTGAAACTAACAAAAAAAATTCTTTTTACGCCATTAACCAACAAACAAAAAATCAAAGGTAAAAGGTAAATTAAAATGAACGATACTTGTAATTTTAAGTTGGCACCACTGATTCGAACCGCTAAAATCGTTTCATTAACGTTACCATATAATTATTAAGCATTTGTCTAATTGAAAAAAAAAACAAAAACCCCATCTTTTTCTCTTTACTTACTTTTATATATTATTTAATCATGTTATTCCTTTTTCGTGATTATTAAATTTTCTCCATTTTAATCAATTTTACGTGCGTGTGCGTTTCAAAATGTGATTTGTAAAACAAACAAACACCAAACGGTAAATTTCAATGACACTTAATACATATAAAAAAAACCAACCCATCGATTAACACATATTTTTCACTTTTCATCATTCACCATTATCACGTATATTTAAAACAAAAACAATAATCAAATATTAATTTAAAAATTAAACACGAAAAATTACTTTTTTTTTTTTTTTTAAATTATAAATAAATATCCGTAAAATGTACAGAGAATTTCCGTTACAACAAGACGCACCGACCTTCAAAGCGACACTGACGAATCTAACGAATAGCAACAGATGATGAACGACATTTTTATTACGCATGCTTACTCATTTTATTTATTATATTCTTATTCGTTTTTAATTTTATTAATTAATTATTATTATTATACATATTTATTTAATTATTTAAATGCATGATAATAAAAATAAAATAATTTGATGGACATTAATAATTTCAAGTTGAAAAAACATAAATAAAATGATTTTTAATAACAGGAATTGATTTGATTTGATTATGAATGTAAAAACATAATCAGGTATAAAAATAATAACGACAAAATCATTCGGAACATAAAATAAAGTAAATAATTAATTAGAATTTTTAAAAAATGTTATTTATAATAACTCCATCACATATAATTTCCATAACAAAAATAAAATTATAAATTTTTGCCTTCTTTTCGATAAAAAAAATTTACAATATTTACAATTGTAAATATATTGACAAATTAATTTAAAATAACAATCGTTTTTTATTCGAGACCAAAAAAATGAAAAATTTATATATATATTAATATATTACTTATTATTTACAAGCTTTTTTTTTTTTTAATCATTAAATACTAAATATATCACACATTTTTTTAATTAATCAAGGAACCTGCCTCTTATGTTAAATATTTTATTCGTCATCTACTGAGAGTTGTGTAAAAAATCAATTATATGTCATTACGATAATACAAACTACTTTTTTTTTTGTATGACATTGTAACTGTAAATGAGCAAACAACATCCTATAAACAAATACAATGGGTATGGGGTAAATGTTGGTTTTAAATTATTCATCTCTGGTTTAACTGTGGTTCTGTATGTGTAAGAATTATGATGACCGGTGTAATATTTATCCGCTGGAAAATCTACATAGTGAGCTTTATACCAAGCATCAAAATCGTAATAAGCAGTCTTTCCATAGCCCCTTCTGCTTTTCATTTTAGATGTTCTCTCATAGTATTTCTTTTCAAAGTCATCATTGTAATCCATTCTAGAATTTGCACTTGCATAAGCTGATGAGTTATGCCTAAAAATTTCTCTGTCATAATTCAATCTCAGCTTTTCATTTCCTGTAACAAAGAAGGGTATAGATAGGTATGGAACAAAGTATATTGGAGTAATATCACCAACTGAAAAGATTAACGTCATTATGTTTGGTACATAAAAGTCGAAAATGATTTACTTACTTAATATTTCATAAGCTGCCGTTATGTCTTTGAATTTTTTAGCACTTTTTTCACAACCTTGATTCTTGTCAGGATGATGTTTTTTCGACAATTCATAAAAAGCAGATTTTATTTCCGTCTGCGTCGCCGTCGGATTCAATCCTAATACTTTGTAATGGTTACATTCCAACGCGGAATAAACGGAAATGTTTCTGAGAAAAAATAAACTCGGCCCGCCGTGGCCTCTACTAGAAAAAATCATTTTATTTTCATCGCCATTTTAGTTACCTTGAAAAAACGGTAGCCATTGTTGTCGCGTGTGTTCGAATTCCGTTAATATTTAACGGAAAAATACTTTTGGGAATTACCGTCGGTTTTTCGAACACAAAAAATTAATTAACAAAATATACACTTTATTACTTTTTAACTTTTTAATTTAAATTTTAAATTTGTCAATTTGATTTCATATTATTATTACCAATTAATAATGTAATAAATTAAGTTAGAAAATATTTATCCAATTAATTGTTTGCCATGAAGAAAATATTAAAATTTTTTTCTAAAACTCCACATACTTATATTTTTTTTAAAAATTCAATTTAAATTGTCATGTTTTTTACCTTTTGTCAAAATTCTTGTAAATTTATGATCATAATTAATCAAATCCCTAAAAGAGAAAAGAAATACCCAAGTGATAAAAAAGCGATAAAAACTTCATAGACTTCACCTTCCACAAGTTTTGTTTTTCTGTAAATTTTTAAATAAACTCAACAGAATTTATAATAATAATAATAAAGAAATATAAATAATCATATGAACATAATAAATGATTAAATTTCATTAAAAAAAAAAAACTTTACAGTAAAAATTTTAATGAAGAAAAAAAAATTTTACGATAATAAATGTGTACATATTCGAAAATGATTGTAGCCATTTTTATTTGTTGTAAAACTTACTAATATTGCAATACACATTATTACTGACAGAAAATCATTTATTTTATTTTTTATCACATATTTATCTAATCACTTTAATAATTATATGTTCTCCAGATATAACTAAATAAATTTTCAAAGGATATTTATTCATTAAATAGTATAACTATACAATTCATTTATGATCAAATTATTTTTTAAATAAAAAAAAAAAAAAACGCCAATGTTTTCACAATAATAATAATAATGAAATAAAAAGTTATTACCTTATTTAAAATGTAAATGAAATTTTCTATCAATTGATTCCGACTAAAAAAATATTTTTTAACAAAATTATTAATTTTTTTTTTTTTTTTTTTGTTAATCAAATAAACTTTTATAGAATTTGTGGTATTTGGTATTTTCAATATGTACAACTGCAAAAATTGAAAATATTAAAGAAGTTAATAAAAGATAAGTGTATTGCATCTCTCTGGGGGGATCCTCTTCCAGAACTTCTCTACCCTCGTAAAAACGACTTTTCTTTTTTCTTTCTTTTCTTGCTTTTTCATATTGTTCTTGTGTCCATATATCCATCAATTCTTCTTCTTTTCTTCCTCTTTTTAATCTTTCAGCATAAAACTTAACCATTGGATCTTTCGAATCTTCCGAAGCTTTTATTCTAGAGTCTATGATAAGACCTTCATCGTAAAGTTTTTTAGAACTTTCATTTCCTGTTTTTAAAAAAAAATAATAATGATAATAATAGTATTTTTTTTATTATCCAATCACAATATTTATTTATATTTGAAACAAAAAAAAAAAAAATTTCATTAATTATTCTTCAAGTAAAAAAAAAATAATAATAATTTCATTTATTTTATATGTTAGTTTCTAATCCTATATACATTCTCTAAATAATAATAAATATTTTGTTTTGTTTCTAATCTTAAAAGTTATTAATATTTTTAAAGTTTAATTTAAAGTAAAAAAAATAATTATTCAAATAATAAAATAAAAGTATATTTTAATCACAATGAAATGAATACATAATTTTTTTTAAGGTCAACTGAATTATAATATTTTAGTAGGAAATGATTATAATGTAATACGAAAAATTGTTTTAATTATTTTTAAAAAAATCAATAAAACTAACCTAATATTTCGTAGGCTGTAACAATTTCTCTAAATTTTGTTAAATTGTGTTCAGTTGCTTCTGTTCTATCTGGATGATAAAGTTTTGACAACTTGAAATAAGCTTTTTTTATATCTGCTTGAGTTGCATCCTTACTGATCGTTAATACATCGTAATATGTTTTCTTATTAACATTACTCATAAATATATTTCTACAATTTATCGAATTATAATTAGAATATACTCCATATTTTAATGGAATAATTCTTTTCCACAACATACTTTTATATTTATATTACGATTACTGTGTGAAAAAGCAGACGACACAAAACTCACAGCCATCTATAAATATTACCTTTCCACACATCTTAAACCGAAATTAAAATGGCGTCTAATTTAAAATAAAATTAAAAAAAAAATTGCTGCAATTTAATTTTATCTTGCTCATTTTCTTTTTTTGTAAAATTTCAATTTAAAAATTAATTCTTTTTGTGTTTTAATTTATTATTTTGTTAATTAAATAATAAGCCTTTATAATAATAATTAGTAAAAAAATTTAAATTTTTTTTTTAACTTATTGAACCTAACTCTCTCGTTATATTAAATTTTAATTCATATTTAATTAGTTTTTTATGTACTCTAATTATTAATTAATATTTAATTCACAATTTGTTCATTCCTTACATAATTAAAAAAAATAAAAAGTTTATAATTTAACAATTATTAAAATATATATTTATATTTTATGTATAAAATGATTTTCATACTAAAATTTCACATCAATCTGTAATAAATCAAGGACCAGCCTTTATATTCAAATTATATTAAATATATATATATATATATATATATAAAATTATTTACTTTTTTTTTGTATGACATTGTAACTGTAAATGAGCAAACAACATCCTATAAACAAATACAATGGGTATGGGGTAAATGTTGGTTTTAAATTATTCATCTCTGGTTTAACTGTGGTTCTGTATGTGTATGAATTATGATGCCCTGTGTAATATTTATCCGCTGGAAAATCTACATAGTGAGCTTTATACCAAGCATCAAAATCGTAATAAGCAGTCTTTCCATAGCCCCTTCTGCTTTTCATTTTAGATGTTCTCTCATAGTATTTCTTCTCAAAGTCGTCATTGTAATCCATTCTGGAATTTGCACTCGCATAAGCGGACGAGTTATGCCTAAAAATTTCTCTGTCATAATTCAATCTCAGCTTTTCATTTCCTGTAACAAAGAAGGGTATAGATAGGTATGGAACAAAGTATATTGGAGTAATATCACCAACTGAAATGTTTGACGTCATTATGTTTAGAACATAAAACTTGAAAATGATTTACTTACTTAATATTTCATAAGCTGCCGTTATGTCTTTGAATTTTTTAGCACTTTTTTCACAACCTTGATTCTTGTCAGGATGATGTTTTTTCGACAATTCATAAAAAGCAGATTTTATTTCCGCCTGCGTCGCCGTCGGATTCAATCCTAATACTTTGTAATGGTTACATTCCAACGCGGAATAAATGGAAATATTTCTGAGAAAAAATAAACTCGGCCCGCCGTGGCCTCTACTAGAAAAAATCATTTTATTTTCATCGCCATTTTAGTTACCTTGAAAAAACGGTAGCCATTGTTGTCGCGTGTGTTCGAATTCAGTTAATATTTAACGGAAAAATACTTTTGAGATTTGCCGTCGGCCGTCGGTTTTTCGAACACATTTTTTTTTTTCCAATAATATAATGATTTAAAAAATTGTTTTTTTTTAATTAAAAAATATTTATTTATTTATGTACGTCAATAATATTTTTATATCCTACAGATGATAATTTTTTCTCCGTAATAAGACTAATCTATGTTTAAGACTCCATTTTGATTTTGATTAGAGTAACAATAAATTGCAGTAGAGAATTAATAAAAGTTGATTTATTACACAAAATGTAAAACTATGTGTATCAATATAAATGATTGCCAATTGTTAATTATCAATTAAATAAGATTTTAATATTTATCAACATTTTACATTTTTACTGCAATTTAACGTCATGATCATTTTATTTACGATCCAATTTATTGTGATCAAAACTTCGATTGACATATTGAAAAGCTGCATATGTAATTAAAAAAGTGATTCCACAAAACCATGCAAACATAGAATTTCTTTTTTTTTCTGAATTACTTTCTTTATAATGTAAAATAGGTGAATTATGAAAATTTCTAACACAAGAAAAAGAAAAATAATTCAATGATTGACATCTCCTTTCCATAATACTATTTTCAATAGAATTTGTGTTGTTAATGTTGTCATTTGATTGTATTTTACCACCTAAAAATTTTTAATTTTAATTTTATTAATACACAAGTAAAAAAAAAAAATTAATCATTTCAAATTTTTTATTTTTTATTTTACCACAATTTATTTTTTTAACGATTCCTATTCGATGACTAAATTGACAACTTGAATTGATATTAATAAATAAAAATTTATTTTTTAATAAATTATTACTATTTATTAAACACTGACGAGTAGCCATAATTAATAATATTTACAATAATAATAATAATAAATAATTTTAAATTAAAAATAATAATAAATTCGTTAACTGACCTCAGTCACTCAACTTCACTCACACATTTACCCATACGATGAAAATTTAACTAATTTATGACTTGTAAGTAACGCGGCCTCCGAGATTCCCATTTGAAAATTTTTTTTCATGTTAATCTATGAAATAATTGGCTCCATTGTAAAAATCCAGTGTAATTCCAACGTATAAGATTAATTTATTAAGTTATTTTATATAAATCAAATTTTATAGGAGAAAAAAGGATTGAATTGATATCTCAACAAGGGTAAATAAATAAATAAAACTTATTTATTAAATAATAAACCTTAAAATAATAATATTCAGACTTTGTTTTCACAAAATACAAAAAAAAAAACCGTTAAACATTATTTCATTTGTCACTAATCGGTTTAGTTTATTCCATGAGTTAATAACACGAATTCTCAATTACTTAATTAACAATAAATATTAACGAAATCATTCAGTTTATTTGTATCTCCAACAATCTTTTTCATCACTACCGTCACTACATTCAATATGTCCATCACATAATTTTTTCTTTGGAATACATTCTCCAAGAGGACACCTATGTCCTAAACAAATACTTTTATTTCTTAAATAATTTGTATTATTCATTTTATTTATTGTACCATTATTAGTTTCCAACGATGATTTAACACCGGAATTGTCTTTTTTTTTATTAACTGAGATTTTCTGCGTCGATGACGTCGACGATGACGATGACGAGGAGGGGGAATTCAAATTTTTATTTCCGTTAACGGTTATCGAATCAAACGAATAATCCGAATATTTATCCATGACGATATCGATCCAATTTAAATATTTCGATACTTTTGTATAAACACCCGGACGATTAGATCTGGCACATCCGTAACCGTTGGACGTTATGCCAAAAAGTGTCCATTTACCGTGAGATTCCTACAAAAAAAAAAAATTCGTATTTTCAAATGTATTCGAACGGAAGTGAAAATGAAAATCCGTTAAATTACCGTGCACATTAATGGTCCTCCACTATCACCCAAACAAGCATCTCTTCCACCTCTATCATATCCTGCACAAAACATATCATCTGTTATTTTATAGAGTGGTAAAAACAAAGTACGTTTCCGACATTCGGATGTCGATAGAACCGGAAGTTGAACTTCTTGCAGGGTATCGGCTACAAACAAATCATTTTATTAAATACAAATCGAACGTTCGTTTGTTTGTTTGTTACGAAACAGGTACTCACGAAATACCCATCCGACCTCTGACAGTTGACCCCAACCTACAACAGTACAAAAAGTACCATCGATGATTGTCGTTTGTGGTTTGGGTAAACAAATCGGTCTAACATAATCTGTAAATCTAACGGATTCTCTCATTTTCAACAGTGATATATCATTTATGAAACCATTTTCTATATATTCCGGATGTAATATTATTTTAATTATGTGACGTAATTGTTCG